CCTCTTCTGGGAAAAGCTGACAGTTACAGGTGGGTCTTGTTGACTCTATCTGACCTTTTTCCTGTTCTCGGTTCTCTTTTCTCCTGTTGTCTGAAAATGGGAAATTGTTCATATCCGTTCGAGAAAACCGACCCTTGCAAAATTCTGTGGGTCATGCGTGATTCTTATCCAAAAGCTTTGGGAACATTTAGAATGCTTTTGCAGAGCCAAGTGCAAAGCAAAGTCTGTTTGTAAAATATTATATTTATCTCTGACTGTAGTGCACAATAGGGATGACAGGACAAAATATTATTGTAAACATTGGGTCCTGCCATGCTCTTCCTTGCAGGTTTTGGATCGGGATATATTTCCATGGTATAGCTGCCAAAGCAAAGCAAGGATGCTGGAAACACCACTGGAAAAGTTCAGAACGAATACGTAAGTCTCATGAGCAAACCTGGAACTAGATTAGAGTAAGTCTCCAACAGTATAATCATCCCAAACTCTCTTAAAGGAAAAGGGTAAAGGAAAGCAAAAGGCTTTTCCTTTATGAATGGCACATGTATAAAACCAATCCCTCATTCTTTACATGTGCTTTGGGGACTTTTAGATATAAAGACATCCAATATATGGCCTAAAAAATAAAAACAAGTGACCAAAATATCCTGTATGCATGTTCTCCAATGTGCATGATGTTCCTGCTATCAGATTGGGTGGTCAGAGGATATCCTATAGTGACAGTGCCCTGCGTGGGAAATTACCCTTCACCCTTTACTGATAGTTTCTCATCCTGTTCAACACCAAAGCAAACATAGCACTAGTGTGCAGTTTCATCTGTTCCGAGACCTGCGTCATGACTCAAACAATTGTTCTCAGTCACAATCTGTGTGCTTTTAGGGCAAAAATCATTAATCATCAATATTTTCTTGAAAATGCGTTCTAAAGTAAAACGACCTTTGGACACACATAAAAAATATGGACACAAAAAAAAATCACATACAGGTACTCCTGATAACCTTTGAAATAAATAAATTGTTAAGCTAATTGTTAAAACATTTTTTTTTTTAAATGGAACAACTAAGTGTCTCTACAAGAGTATGAATTATATTTGAGTATTATATTTTCATGAAAATAGCATTATACCAAATGCAGCCTACATGGGCAGCTGGCAAATAAGAGGACTGAGAGATGATCACGTGTAGTCTGGACCTATTTAAAAGCTGTTTGTGGAGTTTTAACTGGTTTTCAGAATGACATTCTTTTGTTTAGAAGATCTTTCTTTGAATGCTCGAAGTGTGCTCAACAAGCGAGAGAGCAACAAGCGAGAGAGAGAGAGAGAGAGAGAGATGAAGTTGAAGGATACTCTTATAGGGACATGATTTGGGTGTTTTATGCAAATTACTATAGCTGAGGACACGCTTTCCCTAAATTAGAATAATCCGGATTTATCATTAGAACAATTTACATGGGTACACACTTGCCCAAAGGTGATGCAGGAAATAGTACAAAAAAGTGAATGAGGCCCAACATTTATTTAATTTGCTCATCTGAGCTTGTAACTCAAATTACCTGGACCAATACAAATAATTTTAGAAATAAGTCAACCTTATGATGTAATCAATTTAATTCACATCTAGGCTGTTTTTTTTTTTATTCAAAATTATTATTTCAAATATATAATTAAAAAGCCAGAGGTGACTGTATCAAGAAAAAAAAAAAATCAGAGAGGAGGTATTGCCCATCATCTGTCAAAAGTAGCATATGCTAATAATATAAGGCTAGGGTAAAACAAATAATGGTCGTTTGTTAATCTATGAGATTAATCAAAGGCATCTCACTTTCACAGGAAAGAACTTTCACAGTTCCAAAATTAGAGGAAATCCTTTTTGCAACAAATATGCAAAACCGTTTTTTTCTGAAGACTTGAAACAACCCTAAAACAACTATTTTGAGATTTGCTGCACGTTTACATCCTTATTTTCCTGTCAAAAAGACTTCAAAACAACTAGCGGTTTGTCATTGTCGATATGACCTCCCAGTTCATTTCCACACAACTGCCTGCATTCTCTGAACCCCTAGATAGCTGCATACCTAGGGCATCCAAAATCATTTTCTTCATGTGAAAACAAACCAGAGCAATCGATTCATCCTCCCAGCAGGAGGAGGAACCCTGCAGCAGGCCTGTCAGTAAAATCGTGAGCATCTACAGGCGTGAGGGATTGAATAGGCTGTGTGAGACGTGTAGGCTTATGACTGACTTGGAGAGGTGAAGGGTCTTGGGTTACATTGGAGAACAGGGTGACCCCCGCACAAAAGGCCAGCAGAGACATTGGGTTTGTTTTGGGAGCACAAGGCAGACACACACACACGGACACACACATATGCACGTAGGAGAGGAATTTGAGAATGCCATGATGTGAATGCTGTCTTTAATCCTTTTCCTGGTCACCCTGCTCCTTTCGTTGTGGGCCAGCAAAGCTGGATTGTCAGGAATCTCAGGAATTCCCAGAGCGCTTTTTACCCTATTCCTGCATGAAGACACCGGGCACAATGACAACACTGCCCCGTCTGTGTAAAGGGTCAGATCCCCCTCAGTGTCTTTCTCTCTCTCTCTGCCACCTCTTTCCGCTCTCTTACCTCTCAACTGTGATGTGCCAAAGACATGTTAGCTATTGTGGTTGGAAATTGTAACAACATACATGGAGTTGCACAATCACTGATCTGGAGGGATGGCGCCTACATTTAGATGTGCAGGTAAGAATGTAACCAAATATTCAATAATAATGGGGACCAAAGGAAAAAAAAAACTTGAATCGACCACTAATTGGAATACAGAGGAGGACGAGTCCCTCTTAACATATAGGCCTATAGGTATTTTTCTGGTGACACTAAGGCTATTTTTAGGGCCCTTAACATCTCTTAAAAGTGCTTGACTAAATATTTCTAGTAAAGTAAAATTCAAACACTGCTGTTATCATTAACTGAAACTATGGGACCTTTACACGACACCATTTTCACCAAAAAAACGGAAAAATGTTAATGTGTTTTGGCTGTTTATTTATTTACAGGGCAACAGTGTTTTGGGTATCAAAGTGCAAGTTTTGAAAACTATATCAATGAAAATGGTTACATCATGTCACATAGTTTTTCTTTGCAAAGTTACTTTGCCAACTATAGCCGGCATACACAATAGCATTTGTCATCCAGGCGGATACGTTTGAGCAGGGATCATTTTGACAGCGTCATCATCTGTAGGCTAGTCTACCCGAAAACCACTTAAAGGAGTAGTTCACTTTTCAAAAAACTTTTGCTGATAATTTACTCTTAAATGAACGAATCTTTTCCCGAGACCGAGTCATTTGGTTCTTTCAACGAACGAAACGAATGAATTGACTCTGAAAAAGATTCGTTCATTTTGATGAACGAGTTCGAATAGGAGAGTCACGAACGTGCATCACATAACAGAGCAAGGTGACCATTTGAGCTTATAAAACTTAAGCTTTGTAAATTATTTTTTTTTTAAATGAGCGATCGTTTCGCTTGATAAGACCCTTATTCATCGTCTGGAAACGTTTAAAGCCCTTTGAACAGTTTGCAGTTTGTAGCCTATAGTGTCTTTTGGATCTTGAACCGTTTGGTTCCCACTGTGCATTATATGGAGAAAAAGAAAGAATGATATGGACATCTTGGATGACATGGGGGTGAGTAAATTGTCAGCAAGTTTTTTTTTTCAAAAGTGATAGCTCCTTTAAGTAGCCTAGCCTACATCTTTGTACAAATAAACATAACAAATATAACAAAATCTTAAACTAAAACTAAAAATTAAAAATAAAAACATTGATAAATAGATAAATAAACTAATAGGCTAGGCTATTATAAAAATTTTAGATTGATTAAATTTTTCTAGCTACCTTTAAAGTCGGTATGAAACGAAAGTTGCAATCGTCTTTTCTTCCCTATTTTCGAGGAAGGAAAAAAATGTTGGGCGACTCGATGTTGTCCAGGGAGTTTATTGAGTTGCTGTGATCATGTGAGTGACAATTTGTCTTTCCCTCCTGCTAGTAAACAAGTCATAAAGAGATGTTTGAAGAGAATTAAGAATTGTCAATCTTGAAATCATGCTAGAAGTTAGGCCTTTCAAGAGCTAAATAAATCCCACCTGATTGCATAAGCTATGTTACAATTGCAGATGTGACATGATAATCTCTCACATTTTTGTGATCTGTGTTAAAATGTGCACAAGTATAATCTGTGACAACACATTTTGTTGGTTTTGTATTCCTGCGTTTCACTTGTTATTCCTGTCACTCTACAATCCTATTGGTCATAAAATTCTCTGGATCGGCTGAAAGATTGTAGCCAACATCACACAGCAATTTCACGTTCATTGTTGACAGACGAATTGCTCGAATCACACCACTAATCAGCACAGCTAGATGCACATCTGCTGTGATTTTTTTTATGTTCAGCCCATAAGGCTCATGTAAAGCTACATTAAACACTAACATATAGACTAATTACTTCCACAGTCAGAGGTAAAACCACCAATAATGCAGCTTATCTGTCAGGTTATGTTTTCAAAATACTCCAGTGCGCTAGCTGTCTAGAAACAACTGAATTTATCTTGACATAATTTTACACCCAGATTGCTGGGTAAATGTTAATCTTTTCCGAGTTATATTCATTTCAGCATATCTGCCGTTCGAAGATAAGACTATTATCACCAGTATGTCAGATCTACTGACAGAAACCCGCTCTGTTTCACATCAGAGAGAATTAAATATGAGGCCTCACCAGACTATGAGGTTTATTATAACCCGTGCAACCTGACACCAAGGGTAATAATTCTCGGTTAATAAGACTCGGTATTGGGAACTCCATGTACTATCTTATAATTAATTATTCCCTCTTTGTAAGATTAACTAAGAGGCCTGGTTTATTAGCTGGATGACAATCCCTCATTCAGCGCCTCAATCAGGCAGCGGGGGCTCCGTGCAGTTGAGCGCTGGCAGGGAGCTGGTTAACACTGACACGGCTGGCTGGTTTTAATAGGGAGGTAGTGGAGAGAGGGCGAGGTACAGCGCACAGCACAGCCGACACCTGCAAACACTTGACTGGACTCGTACAGAGAGGGAGCGCGTCTGACTCTGGAATACTAACGGATTTGCCCCCCTTATGATATTGTGAAAATGACAGTGCGACTGGAAATGGGAAAGTTTGTTTTTTTGAGCTCCGCGTAATTCTCAAACTGTAACTAACCGGTTTCTGAACGCTTGCTAGTAGTAGCTACTTTAACTGCTGTGACTAGAAACTTTGGCAACTGAGAAACCACGAAGAAAGAACTTAAAAGACTACAAACAAATGGACATTGACACGTTTATTTGTGTTTTGTGACTGTTTTCCTCCGTATCGGACAGCTGTGTGCCACGGAATGTAACATCTTCCATCTTAAGTTACCTGGACAAGTAAGTGGCTCCTTAAATAATGAAACATTGACCAGTATGTTTGTTTGACTGTTGCTACGGTTTGCTAATTTTCTCATAGATTTCTTTGTTTACGTGATGTCACCTGTGTCTCAAACAGTGAGGTGCCTAACAAGACATCACTTTTAGGGCATCATCACAGAGAACGCCTGCTGTAGCCTAAAAATGAAAAAATATTTGAGGTTTCACTGATCAATATACTGAGAGTACATGAGAGCCCTTTAAAAAAGGGTTAGTTGCCCAAGGAACTTATCTGAAAATCTGACCCATAAATTTTTTTCATGTGCCTTAAGTATTTTTCATTTATATACATAATTTTCCACAAGTCTTACAGTATCTTGGTTAGCAGCTTACTGCCATTGTATCAGGCTCAGGGGTCCACAGGGTCCTTCGTCTTCAAGATGTCATGAGAGTCGCACATCAACCTTCATTGTCCACTTTACACCCACTCGGCAAAGTTGCTCAGGAATTGTCAGTTTTCTGTTAAAACAAACTCAGTCAGTTGGCAACTTTTGTGGACCATGGGGTGACATATCTAAATTCACAATATTATGTCCACCAGCTCAATGTATTATGTATTCGGGGCACTAACTGAAAAAGCAATGCATTATAGATCATAAGGTAATATCAGATCTAAAATAATATCAGATTAAGTTATCTTCGTCCCTGTTGCATATTTAGCAGATTTCTACTAACTTTAGCATATCGAGATATATTTTTATTTACTACTTCAAATTGTTTTTGTTTTTTAGATTTATTGTTGTTGTTTGTACACAATTCAAGACAGTTCAAGCATTATAAAAAAGGCTAAAGCTATTGAAGGTGTGGTTTATATTACTTTGATTCATTTGTACTGTGTCTGTGAACTTTATCTTAAATAGTGCCCTGGCTGTACAACATTTGGTGGTTTCTAGAACGTTGGTTTCAAACGTCAGTGCTTGAGGTTCTGCACAAAACATGAAAACGCTTTTAGTGGTTAGCCTATGATTTTTAAGCTGATTTGAAATTCATGTTTTTTAGCTTGTTGAGATATATATATATATATATATATATCTTTTGCGTCCTTGCTTTGGAAACTTAAGAATGATTGTTTTATGCTAAGACAGAGATGAATAATGAATTGATTACTAACTCAGTTTATGTGCTCATGGGTGCAATTAAGTTAGATTCATTAAATGCACCGCATGAAGACATTTATGCAATTCTCTGTTTGTTACCTTGGCCCTTGTCCTCAATGCCTCTTCTATGTTGTTTCTCTGCCAGATTTTTATTAAGATGTTTTTGTTATTATTATAATTTGTATATCTTGCTCTGAAAGCTGATGACCCTGATATAAAGATGGTCTGTTTTAGTAGTGTAGAATTTTCACCAACCCATTGAAGTCATTCAAAACCAACCTGCCACTTGAAAGACTTGACAGTGGAATTCTGGGATCCATGTGGATTGTGTCTCATCAATTATTGAACAGTTATTGAGGGAGATGAGGAAAGAAGGTCTGAAATCAATTGAGAAGCATCTTGCCCTGAGGGGTTCACTGGATCTGCCTTTATTTTGGTATTGTTGACAGGCGTGAATGAAATATTAATCTTGCCAATCGTAGTACACTGTACACTAACCTAGAAGCTGTGCAGTCCATACTAAAATCCCTTGCTTGCACCATCTTTTTATACAGGCATTGTAATTTTTTTGACAGTTAAACCATGTTAATTCAAGGATTTTAGTTATTTATGTGATTGTGAGGTTTTACATAAGTACATTTATGTTCACCATAGAGAGATACAGTGGCCCCAAAACTTAGTTGTACACTTATTAGAGATAAATGATCAAACCACACATGGCATTGCAAAAAGTAACGTTTAGCCATATTTGCGATTACTAAACCAAGTGGTCTCAAAGTGATTTTTGTATGAAGTCAGTTCTCCTTAGGTTTACACAGGTGTCTTATGCCAGGTTTAGACTACTGGAGTTTCATTCCGATTGTGCCTGATTTACCCCTCCTGACATTCGGAGGAAAAATTGCATCCAGGGCATCGGTCCGTTCCGTTGTTCAGCTTAGATTATCTGTATGTGAGGCGTTTACAGAACAAATCAAATTGTAGTGTGTGATGCTCCGCAATAGTGTGCGCAGGTTTCGAGATTTGAAAGAAGAAAATCTGTGAAGATTCTCTTTATGTGAGTAATGCAACCAGATTTCACAATCGTTAAGATTTAAAAACTCCTGTACTGAGCCTTAAAGGGCCGGCTTAAGGAACTCGCACCCTACAAGATAATTTGGGCCCAATTCTTCCCTTCCGACAATCCTTTGCACGTAAAGTCCAGATTATCTTGATGGTTCTGCAGTATATTTTACAGATTTTCCTGTGGTGTGATGTGTGTTAAGAGTGAATGAATCTTTTCGGCAGAATAATCTTTTCGGATCACCGATCTCAAATCATAAATATCTAACATGTTGAATCTTATGTTCAAAAATCCTCTTGTGTGAGAACTCTGAGGAAAAACACGCATGTACTCTGTAGGTTGTCACATGGAACAACATTACACGACTTCACCCAAACCATTTTATTTTTTCCCACAAAATCTTCTGTAAAAGCAGTCCAAACACTATTATAGCCATTTCTTCTTGCCCGCCGTTTGCCGTGTTTGTTTACTCTAAAGTCACATTTGACCGTGACACTTTTATTTTATTTCCTGTGTTCATAGGCAGGACAGGTTGTTTTTGAAAGAAATCTGTTAGTTTGCTGTCTTGGTCTCATCGGTCAAATCTCGAAATTTTTATCGCTATGTGGTCTCTCACATTTTGAAAATCTGATAAAATGTAAAAAATCTTTTAGTGTGGGCCAGCCTTTAGCTTTTTAACCACAGATGCAGTTTTCAGACTGATCTCATGAAATTGCGTGTGTATGACACGCCAATTCGTATTTCCCCTTTTTGGCGTGCTATCAACACACATAATCGCTTTCAGCGTGTTTATGAACGCAGTTGACTTAACGTTAGTACTGTATGGTATATAAATATATTACCTACCCCAACCCCATCCCTAAACCTACCCATCACTGGGGTTAATAGCATTTCTGAGTGTTCCCCTACCATCCTGGAAAAATAAAATATTGCTCCCCAGATGTAGATCAACATTTTGCTTCGTTTCGCTCGGACATTTAACGGCGCGTACATACACGCGGAATCACTCCGTAGACATACACGCGGATAGCTCAAAATGCGTATAGATAACATGCCACTTGACTTGAAAGTGGCGTGTATGTTTACTCAAAAGCCATGATGTCATGTTGCAGTTTTTGTCTTAATTTTAGGCTAGGTATAGGCTATATGTATTGTTTTATAAAAACTTTCAAAATATTCTCTCAAATAAATTCCACTTAGTTTTATGCTTTGTTATTGCAATGGCTGTGTGCTATATATTTCTCTTACTGACAAGTTTTCTAGATGTTTCGCATTCAAGTTAATCCTTTCTTAATCGTTTTTCCTTTTCCTTGTCATGAGGATGAAGAAGATGATAATAATGTTAAAAGACTGAAGTAAGCGTTCTAAATTGGTCACTTTGTTCTATTTTGAGGATTCCTTTAAGACATTATGAGGTCATGTTTGGGAAGAGAGTATGAGAGAACGCACAGCTGATGTCTTTGTTATTAACACACTTTGAACATTAAGAAGAGAATCTTTTTTTATATAAACAGCCCCCTCTTAAAGGCACATAAATATTCACACGGATACTTTTCCAGGCATTCAAAGAGCCCAGATATGGATAATTAATACCTGTACAAACCTGTTGACATAATGTTTTGACTGAGTGTGATGGGGAACATTTGTTATGAGAACAGAAATAGTCCTTTCATCAGCTATAATTTGCAAACAATTTATTGGACATCAGTGCTTGTCATTGTTTTTTTCTTTCTTTCTTAGTTTTTTTTCTTTCTTTCTTAGTTTTTTTTTTAAATATCCTATATTTTTAAATCATTTCCCATTTCAAACTTTTCACTTTCAGACCATCCACTCCTTAGTTTACAGAATTATTTGCTGGTTTAATTATAATGCTGGTTTATTATAATGAGTGTTCTAATTGCGTCCCTTAACTTATAAATTAAATATCAAGGCTTTTATCCCTCTCCCTGTTTTGTCTTAATTCAGGGAAATGATCTTTAACTCATGTTGTTGTTTTTTGCGTATTTCAACATTCATTTAGCTTTTTTGTTCACTCCGTAAATGACTCTTAAATTCCCATTTGTCACAAGTGTCTCTCTCTCTCTCTCTCTCTCTCACACACACACACACACACACAAACATAGAGAGAGATGCACTCATGTATACACTTCTCACTCCCTACAAATACAACAAGCCTCTTGAGACGGTTGTCATGACAGCGTCAGCGGTGCTGGGGGGTCAGAGTGGGGTCAGTCTGGACTCTAAGGTTTGGTGGAAGGGGGAATACAGGGCACAAGTGATAATTTAGGGATGTCATGGTGGAAATGGGAGGCATCCACCTTATGAATGAGAGTATTCTTAATGCAGATTGTAAATTATATCTGTATTGGTTTGAGATATTCGTTCACTTGTATGCATGATGTGACACGCCTATTCACCAATTCCCCAATTTTAGGTTTTCGTATACAGTATGTATCATTTCCTCTCAATGTTCTTTAATGCATCCGTTCAAGCTTCAAAGCAGAAGCACCTGACATGACTTCAGAATTCGGACCCCCCCTATACAGCCCCCCTCAGCAACCCCATCCCAGTCCTGGTGCCACATTTATGGAGAAAGGCACAATGCAGGGGCGTCAATAACAGTGAGCAAGAGTGCCTAATCCCTGCAGCTGTCAGCCCTGGGAGAATTGAGCCTCCATTCTGAAGATTCTTGGGTCTTTGCCAATCAAGACCAACGGTAGTTGCTGCGAGAGTCCGCTGATAAGCAAACTATCGTTTCTCTGGCTGGAGAGGACAGTGGATACAAAGAAAATGAAGTCATCCCA